TAGATGATATGCATATATGGGTATATTAGTCTTTATATAATCCGTAGATTAGTCTTGTAACTAGTATAAATACTGTACTACTGTATTCTAATAATTCATTCAGTTTACAATCTCTATATGTATAATGTGTTTTCTTATACAATTGAACTTTACGAATCAAAATACATTCTAGGGAAAATTGAAAATATTGACCTATTTTTGTCCTATTTTTCATTTTATTGGGCTTTCTATTTAATAAAATTATTGAAATAAATTGTTTTACAAACTAAAAAATTATGAATAAATGAACAATGCAAGAAATACCCATATCGATGTAATACTAGTTTTGGGTTCTAAAACTTATAACTAAAAATTTTAAATTTTGTTTTACATATAGCATATTTTATATTCTACGGAAAAATGTATAGTAGAAATTGAATTCCACAAATTGTTGGGCAGATTACTTTTCTTAGAATAAGTAATCTATAGATTACAAAGATTTCTAACTATTTTTTTAATACATATTGAACTATTAATCTATCATTCTAATTGTGCGAATAGTAATCGAGAAATAGCTCAATGTTCCAAGATTAGTAAAAGGTGAGTTTGATTCTCTTGTCTTATTTCTACCAGCTTCCTCAAAGGCTAAATATTTGTGTTCTTGTGTTATGGCTGAGTAGTCGGCTAGTTAGTTTAGGGTTCTAAGGTGTTGAATCCGAAATCTAAGCATAGATAAGTAATCATCCGATTGGCTTCATTCATATCCTTTCTTATGGATTGCATTGAACTGATCACTTAGTGTATGATCTAGGGTTTAATCCATTCGCTAACCGTGTAGTAGATAACTTGATATGATATGAATGAGGTTTCATCCCTAATTAGCGAGAGTAGATATTAGGGTGTTTTGCGAACCTATAGGACTTGATCTCTATTGCTTGCTATCGCATCGTGATCCAAATGAGAATTTAGGCATCAAGATCGACTTGCAAAAGGAAGAGTTCCACAAAAGTGGGCTGTTCTACCTTTTGTGATCTGAGTTCTAGACTTGTTAGAAACCGAACTTGAATAATTGTTTGGCTTGCACACATTTAAACCCGATGAAGTAACCCTAGACTAGTGCTTTAATCATCTGAAAACCAATCTATCATTTTACTGGCTTGTTACTTTTACTCTAGTTTTAAAACCACCTCATTGTTTTCGCTTGATAATGATCCTGTAAAAGTAAAGTGTATACTGGTCCTCTAAAATTGAATCTAAACATAATACAACAACACTGTTAATTTGGTAGTAGCAAATATCCGATTTTAGTGTCTCAATATGTTATATCTCTAATAAAAATTTCAATGAAAAAAGATAATTTATAGTATTAGTTTTAATATATTTATATTTATATTTATATTCTCTATATTTCAACTATTAAAGTTTGGTTTTATATGAAAACAAAAAAAAAACATGATTTTATATTGATCTATGACACTGTATTTATTAAAAAAAAACGGAAGCGTGATTCCAAAACAGAATCGTAAGCTTCCAATAAGTTTTTAAGAGAATATTTAGAACCGTTTTGGAAGCAAGATTCTGCAAACTTCCATAAGGTTCCAAAGCGTGAAGCGGACGTCGATGAAACTTCCACGCAATCTAGGTTGAAAAGGGAATAAAACTAGGGTAATTTTTTCAAATAACTCATTTTTAAGTTTTTACACAAAAACATTTATCACTCGAGAAAATGACCAAGAAGTTTCATTCGAGAGACAAGATTTTTGTGTCATTTGCTTTATAAATATATAAATAATAAATAAATAAATATAAAACTAAAAAAAGTAAAAAATATAAAATATTTTTTATATTTTCGCATAAATTTCAAAAATGATTTTGAAAACTATTTTTCAGATTTTATTTCAATTTTTAATATATTTCAATTTTTGAATATTTTAAATTATATTTCCAAAATCTTACCTATTAACTCTAAAAAAAAAGATCTAAAACTAGTTAAGTCTATGGATAAAATAATATATTTAGTGTTCAATAAAATAATTTTTTTGTCATTTTCTATTTTGAAATTTGTTTTGAAAATAAATTAAAGGAGACTACAATTTGGAATTTCTCATAAAACTAACGATAAGTTAAAAAGGATTTTAGGATTTTTATCTTTAGTTGTTTTCCTAATTTTCCATTTTAACTCGCGGTAAAGCGAGTCAAGTGAAACGGGTTTGACCCTCTTTCTTATCTTAGATTCTAGAGAGACTCATTGGGAAACGCCAAAAATACATATAACAAATACTAATTCACTATTTTTTATATAGTAAATCATCTCATGTAGAACTCGTGGAATACTAAAAGACTAGTGCTTCCATTTCGGTTTACATGTCACTGTAGAAAAAACAAATTATTTGAAAATAAATGTTGTTTCTTAGTTTCAATATAAAATTTATTAATTTTATATATTTCTTTTTATTAGTCAAAATATAATTAAATATATAGATAATTGTGCTTTTATTTTAAAAATATATAAAATTAAATATTTTTTTAATATGTGTACAAAATTATAAAATGATAATTAAAATGAAATGGACAGAGTAAATATTACTCTGTCCATTTCATTTTAATTATCATTTTATAATTTTGTACACATATTAAAAAAATATTTAATTTTATATATTTTTAAAATAAAAGCACAAAAAAAGATTGAATTATATCACTTAAATTGTATCAATTATGTAAATGATTTTATTTTAAATTAGTTATTTACAAATGACACAAAAATATATAATTTAAAATCAATTGATATATGTGATACTAATATCAATTAGTTTTACATCGCCTCAGTAAAAATGATATAATTTTCATTAATTTATTTCAGTTAAAATAACTGATGTTATTATATAAATTTACATCAGTTAAATAACTGATACAATTATTATTTTTGGTTGACATCATTTATAAAAATGATTCATCATTTACATCGGAAATAAACTGATACTAACAAAATTAGGTTACTATATATTCTTTTAGCATTGATTAAATAAAACTGATGTTATTCTATGTTAACTTGCATCATTTAAAACATTTCTTTTAATTTAAAACTAGATCTCAACCCGCGCAACCGCGCGGGTATTTGTTTTCATTTATTTTTTTATAAACATTTTGTTTTTACTTCTAAATTGGTATATATATTATATAAGGTGTATATCGAAAATGATATATTATATAAGGTGTGTATATCGAAAATGGTAATTAATTATTATATAGTATAGATTAATTATTGTTAGAAAATGATATTTTTGTCATTTTTAAAAATAAACTATATAATTTTTAAAGTTAACATCGAAAATATATAAATAATTAACTTATACTATTACAATATTAAATTATATAAGTTTAATTTAAACATATTTTATTATACTATCTATAAATTTAATAAATTTAATGGATCATCTAATTTTTATTAGCCCAATAAAAATTTCTTGTTTGCCCAATAAATGTTATTAGTAAATCTAATGAATGTTATTAATGATTAAATACATAGTGTGACCAACTCTAATAGATAGTCCATTTTATAAAAAATCACACATGAATGAAAAGTTATTACTTCTCTTTTAATATAATAGATTTAGTTTTCAAAAACAACCTAAACTTACGAGATGTGGTTACTATTTTCATGGCTTTAGTTAGTTTTTTAGCTTTAATTTTATTTTCCCCCATGTTCTTCTATAACTGTTTTATCTTAAAAGGCATATTATTTTGGGATCCTCATTCTTTCTTCTCCGTTCTTCTTGTCCATTTCTTGAACTTTTTATAACAATACATTCTGGCTATTTGATTCATAAAAATCAACAAGAATCAACCATCTTTCTTATGAGTTATGATTCTACTAGTCTTATGAATGATTTGAAAGAGAACTAGACTCTCCTAACGTGACGAAGTAAAGGTAATATATATTTTTCGTTTGGTCCTCTTCTTCTAGATCTCTTTTATTTATTTGACTATTAGAAATTTTTATATGTTTATCAGATTCATTTTTTGTTAGAGTCCAGTATCTTCATGGACGATTATGAAGACTCTCTTGCAAACTCAGGAATAGAAACTCAGGAATAGAAGTCTCCGTGAAAATCTATTGATGGTTTACTGATTTTATTCAGTTTCATCTTATCAAGGAAGGTTGAGGATCATAAACATAAACACGATTGTAATCAAGGTTTATTGTTTATGATTATTTTATTTTATTTTTTGTAAATGATTTTATTTTTATGTATTAATATAAATTGTCTCAAAATATTTCAAATTTCATTTCTGTTATGAAAATCTTAATAAATATTAACACCATTTGTGCTATAAGTATTAATTAATAAAAAAAATAATTATTTTTTTTATAAAAAATTAGGATTATTAATAAATTTATTATTAATCAAATATTTTTAAATTAATTTAAAATTCACGAAATTTACATTAACTTTAGCATCAATCATTGTAACTGATAAAAATATTCAAAATTAATTAGAACAAAATGATATTAATGTTACATCAGCTAATAGTAAATGATTTAAATAATTACAATCAATTTGTTAAATTGACACTAATACAAACATCATTTATAAAAAATGATGTAAATAGTAACATCACTTTTACCAACTGACATTTACTAATATCACTTAAAGTAATTGATGGAAATATTAACTATTTTTACATCAATTTTGAACAAACTGATACAAATTATTTGCATCACCAAAAACTAAATCATTTTTGTAAGTGATGTAAAAGTTTTTTGTATCATTTATAACTAATGCGAATATAGAAAACAAGTGATTCAAACTAACCTTTTTTTTGTAGTGAATATATATGGTAAGATAGGGATAATACTTTCAACCGAGACAATAATTAGTATAACAAATACTACAATCCATTGACTCTAATTAAGCAGGACATGTGGCACCATGTGGGTGGACGGAGACTACGTAACAATAATAAGTACTAGTATAAGTACGTACGTATATGTGAAACCGAAGAGAACACTATTCTCCTCTTCTGAAGATCTTTGAGTACTAATCCATGGCAATCTCTCACGTTCATCCTATGTTTCTTCTGATCCTATCAGTCGCCTTCTTACCTACTTTGCTGGCCCAGAGCTCCTTCTTTACCAACTGCAGTTTGCTCCTCCTAACTTTGTTCTATTCCTTGTTACGTTAATTTACAAAATAATATTAGGGCTTGAAAACTTTGATCAAAAAAAAGGGGGCTTGAAAACTTTAAACAACATTGACTCTAATGTTTATCTATCTTTGACTCTAAATCTCCAAATGGATTTTATGTGTACTTTTTGGTTATAAATGAATCTTGTTCTCTTCATTAACATTGATCACTGACTGTAGGCCCAGTGTATGGCGGAATCAGAGTTACTGGTATGAAGGAATTCATCGAGCAGGGGAGAAAAAGCTTTAACTTAACCTGCTCTACAGGTACTTGATTAATTCCTTTCATAATTTATATCCAAGTAGTCAGTCACTCTTGTTTACTTTCCAGTGTTTTTCTTGATGATGAAATATTTTGTGTGAACAGGTACAACACTCACTGAAGGAGTCATTATTGCGGTAGTTAAACGAGGCTACAATTTAGGACCAATCTTAAATGCACAACGATACCATCTCTGTGATTTGATCGCATGTCCTGTTGCACCTGGCTCTTTAGTGATTACTTTTCCCAAACTATATCCTGTTGGCATAAAAGTAAGCTTTTTTACATTTTATTTGGTAAATTTTAAAATTGCAATGCACGATTTACATAGTAGAAAGTTCTTTAATTTGGTTTTCGATGAATTTTTTCATCTCAATCACTAACAGATTCTGTTTCATACTTGTGACATATATTTGCTTTGGTCGTTCCATAATCAGTTTCCTAATAAACGTTGAGCCTATTGTCATAACATAGTTGATGGAGTCATTAGTCATAACTGTTGTTAAAATTTTGGAGTTCCCTAATTTGATTTCCATGGCTTGGTCAGATATGATAGAGCATTCCTACCGGTAGGTATATTACCACTGGTATCTAAGACATATAGGTTCATTAAAACTTAATTAATAAATAAAATTTAAATCACCAAAAATGTTAAGCCAGTCATAGAATAACAGTTATGTAGAGAGTGTGTAAAATTTTTTTTGTTGAGGTTCTAGGCAGAGGACCATTATTTACCTTCTCTCTATCTTTTGACACATTCATTTTTTTGACACTTTTAAACAGTTTAGATATCCATCTAAGAAACCTGCAACGAGGTTGCCCTTATATTTCTATTAGGAGATTCCCAGATCTTCCTATAACATCGTAATTCCCAGCTTATAATTTTCATACCAAACTAACTGTACTAGGGTAATAAAACAGTGAGATTACACCATAATGAGTTCGCACAGTAAAAATGAGTTTGAGTTCTAACAATGCGCAATTTATCTGATGTTGAACTTTCCAAAAGCTTCTTATCTAATTAAAAGCATGTTCTACCTCTGGATTTGTAATGCTAACTTAAAGAAAATATATTTTGATTAAAAACAATGCTTATTTGTTGCCTTCATTGACACTAGTTTTTCTGTTTCGTTATTATCGATCTTCCTGAAACCCCACCATTTTGTTGGTTCTCTGACGATTCGTTTGTTTTCTCTTCTTTTTACCTTTGTAGTGGCATGTCAATACAAAAATAGTCTTAAACGCAGGCCTTGGTAAGATCGTAAATGGAGTGCCAGTGCCGGCCGATGGAAGTCTGTGTGTCGACATCGATGATTATTATTTTCCATGATCACAAGGAAATATTGTGTCCCGTCTTCCCTTGCGTAATATCAGAAGCGTGATTTTTATGAGAAAATGTGTTCTCAGCATTTTCTATGTCGTTTTCTCTCTTTGGTGTGATGTACTGTTTGTTATCCAAGAAATAAAAAGTGGTTTACACATATACGTGATAATCAGTACTGTATATATACCAATGCTGAAGCAAGTAGAGAATGTGTATGCCTTACTCAAACAAACGAATAAAATGTCAATTTATATTATAATGATATAGTTTAAAGGCTCTTTAAGATGTCCATATAGGCAGATCATGGGTCCCACCTTTTTATATTAAAATATATAGTTTTTTTAAAATGGCTACAAACAAAGAATATTAGTTTAGCCAAGTGGTCTAAGGCCACATGTTTGGTTTGCAAGGGCATGGGTTCAATTCCCACTGCTCTCATGCATAGATATTTTTTAAACACACATAGTCTTAATAAGATGGTCACAAACAATGAAATACACTTTAGCCAAGTGGTATAAGGTGTATTAAGTATGCAAAATTGTGGGTTCAAACCCACGCAGCTATCATGTATTTTTTTATTTTTTTATTTAGGTTATTATCATATGGGCTTTTTGTTTATAAGGTTCTTATGTTTTTTTTTGGCTTATTGTTTTAAAGAACAAAATAGTTGTATAAACCCTAAACCTTAACAAGTTCAAACCCAAAATAGTTAAAAATGAATCCAAACGAACAATAAAAAAAAACAAAAAAACAAAAAAAAACAAGTCTCACGTGGTTGCCTACGCGGATGGCTTAAAGAACCTTAAAACTATCCTATTATAATATAGCTCAACCCAAAAATAATAAAAAATAAATCCAAAAACGAACAGACCAAAAAAAAAAACAAAACAAAAAGTGAATTCCACGCGGGTGCATACGTGGATGGCTTAATGAGGGTTGAATAATATAGATTAGGAGCTCAAAAAGTTAAATCATTGCACATATTTCCTAATATATATTTTCAAAAAATTTGTATGTGAGATAAAATAAAATAAAAAAACAAAAATTAATTATTTTCATTATTTATTAAATGAATATATAATTTCTCTTACATTTTAATAACTACTATAATTTCCTTGAAAACATTCCTCACCACCGATTCCAGAATCCGGCGAATGGATTCCCACAGTCGATGACGCCGTAGATAAAAATGCCACATCATTTATGAACAAAACTCAAACTTACAAAAAACCATATATAAAAGCCTATCTAATGAAACTTAAACAACGAATATTAACTTAATTAAGGTTATTTTCAAATTGATAAATCGTTTAATACAAATATAAATACTATAAATATAGAATTATATCAAATTTTGATCTACGATATAAAAACTATTTACAGAAAAAAAAACACACCTACTTTTACACACTAAAAACTATATTATAGCCTAACTATTCCTATAAACCTTACTTCGCATATAAATAACATTTAACACATTCCTAATATTTTTCAAAAAAAGTGTATGTGAAATAAAATAAAATAAACAACAAAATTTAAGTAAGTTATTTATTAAATGAATATGTAATTTCTCTTACATTTTAATAACTACTATAATTTCATTGAAAACATTTCTCACCACCGACTCCAGATTTCGGCGAATGAATTCCCACAGTCGATGACTCCGTAGATAAAAATGCCACATCATTTATGCACAAAACCCAAACTTACAAAAAACCATATATAAACACCTATCTAATGAAACTTAAACAACGAATATTAACTTAATTAAGGTTATTTTCATATTGATAAATCGTTTAATACAAATATAAATACTATAAATATAGAATTATATCAAGTTTTTACATATGATATAAAAACATGAAATTTTTCATTTCATTATTAATTGGTGTCATTAGAAGAATCCACTAAACCAACAATCGAAAAAAATACACGCAAACATAATGATCCCGGCTCCGAGCTTACGCGGGGAATATGCAACTAGTTATTAGAAAAGAACAAATCACAAATGATAAGGCTTTTTTTTAGTGGAGAATACCACTGTGACTTGTACTAAGGACTTTTTTACAACTTACAACTTATTCATGGCCTTCTAATTAATGCACATAGGAGAGAATCTTGCGAAACTTAGTGATGCTTATTCTTCTTCATGCTAGTAAGCCATATACGTCTCTTTTACATACATTCATCTGTTCTTAAGTACCTGCACTGCGTACCTAAACTGGTTTTACAACTCAAATTGTGTGAGAATGAGACCAATAAGAAACAACAAAAGATTGTTTTTGTGTTTTGTTCCGCTACAGTGATTTCATCACCGCTGAAAACAGATGTTTTGTATAAGTGACAATATCAGGATCTATAGACATCCTTATCATCTCCTCGTAAGGGATCAATGGAATACACCAACTAGACCATATGTTATTATTTATTCTTAACATGCAATTTAAAATAGGTTTTGTCTTTATTACCAGCAATATTATTTTTTCTTGCTTCAATGCTTATATCTAATATTTTCTCTTGAAGCTTAAGCACATCATTTAGTACAAGAACTTACTAACAAATGGACCTGAAGGAGCTTCCATCAAATGTAGGAGACAACAACATAAGTGAAGAAACAAATATTCTGATCTCTTCGCTTCCTTCATGTACAGATTTCGAAGGGAAGAAACTTTGTAATTATCAAGGATTTTGGTATTACTACAACACTCTCCAAGGCGTTCTTAATTTCCGGAGAGGTTTTAAACCGCAAGGCACCGATATAATTCTTGCTTCTTCTCCCAAATCAGGTACTATTTGGCTCAAGGACCTCACCGTCGCCTTCTTGGAGTGATCAAGAGCCATTCCTTTGATCATCATCCTCAACTCTCTGATAGTCCTCATGGAATTGTAAAATTCTTGGAGCTCCAAGTTTATCAAGACAGCTCAAGTCCTAACCTAGCCAAGTTCTTATCATTTCCGAGGCTATTTTCAACTCATATGCCACTCAGCCACTGCACGAGTAAACGGTTCGACATCTGCGTTCATCTAATAATCAAAGAAGCAATTTAGCATCCCTGTTCGTTATTCGTCAAGGAAACACCACGGTGGACCTTCTTCTGCAAGCCAAGCATGCTATCTCACAGAACTAGCAAACAAAATCCACTCTAATTCACCGTATGAATCACCAGTAGATTAGGGGAACTTACTGTAGGAGGTGGATTGCATCCTTTCACAAGGCCCATAAGAAAGTATGCTTGGCCCATTAAAAGAACAGCTCCACGGCTTAGCCAGCGACTGACACAGCAGCTCGGCGCAAGACTACCAAGAAAAACTGCAAGGTTCTGGTTTGAAATTCTAGATATATTTCATATGGCATGTGTATTTGTTTTTTTTTTTAATTTTCCTTCATAATTTGTTTTAACTGTAATCCTCATACTGAAAGCTCCATTCAAAATTTGTACACCAATAATATTTTGAACTTAAAAATATATAACAAAAAAACTTAAAAATATTATTAGTGTACAAGGTTTGAATAGAAATTTCGTTCTGCGGATTACAATTGAAACAAATTATGAAGAAAAATAACAACAAAGAAATACACAAACCATATGAAATATATCTAGAATTTCAAACCAGAACCTTGCAGTTTTTCTTGGATGATCATGTCTAGCTTGTTCTCCATTTCAGGAGTAAGATAATTTTTCCAGTCACCAACTTCCCCTATACGGAAAAAATCTTGCGATCCACATTGTTAAATATTTTAGTTATGTTAACCTCCAAACCGCTTAGGTTACGCAGAGAGCAAAAGTCCAAGATCTCGTCCACCAATCCATTTTCTTCTTCTTCCTTAGAGCATCTCCAATATATTACTCCATTTTCTACTCTAAAATGGAGTAACTCCAAAATGCAGTTGAGTTTTACTCCAATGTATTACTCCATTTTCTACTCCAAAAGAATATTTTTAATATTATATTTATTTAAAAATTAGGAATATCACCTTTCATTTATACTATTTGCAAAACAGTCCATTTTAAATTTATAGCATTTCTATTAAATACAATATTAACCACAATTAAATTTTTATTATATAAATAAAACTACTCAACAAGGTTTTAAAAGAATACATTTAATACATTAAAAATTACATTATATAGCTTAAACACAATAATACATCAATTC